TAGCTCAGGGCCAGTCTTCCTCAGCAAAAAAGAGGAGGATCGGCATTGGATGTTAGCTCAGGGCTGATCTTCCTCACCAAAAAAGAAAAAAAAGCATCTTAAAATCCATAAAATAGGGTATTTCTAGCCATCTCCTCTTTTCATGCTCCATAAAGAATGTGATCCATATTTTCCCAGGGCCCAGTAGCCCAGAGTTAAAATGGGGTTTCTGGGACCCCAAGCACCTGCATTTCATAAGCTCTGTTCCCGCCCCGTCTCCGTTATTCCTGGGAGTCTCCACAACACCTCTGTGCTCACACTTGGCTCTGTCGCAGCCCCTTCTGTGGTGATTCTGAGGGATCCCCTCACCAGACAGCCTCTGAAGGCACTTGAGCCGAGCTTGCTAGCAATCCCCAGAAGGCCCAAAGCAGTGGACTTTTCGTTGCTCATCTCGAACTCCACATCTGAGAAGAGGAATTCACCATCGCTTCCCCTGCCCCTTGTCAACAATAGTAAGAAAATACATTGCCTTTTTTTTTTCTTTTTTCTGAGGAAGATTAGCCCTGAGCTAACATCTGTTGCCAATCTTCCTCTTTTTTTGCTTGAGGAAGATTAGCCCTGAGCTAACATCTGTGCCCATCTTCCTCCACTTTATATGTGGGTTGCCGCCACAGCATGGCTGACGAGTGGTGTAGGTCCATGCCTGGGATCCAAACCCATGAACACGGGCCGCCGAAGCTGAGCACACCAAACGTAACCACTACGCCACGGGGCTGGCCCCTACATCGCCATTTTAATGCAGGTGAGCATTCTGGATTCTCTTTATCTCAGGCACCAAGATCCCTGCCCTACCTTTAGACACTGGGTGTTGCTCAAATCATTAAGTGCCTGTTGATATGTATATATGGGCTTCAGGACCCAGTAGGTCCTCTGGACTTTGGAGCCCAAGGAAAGCAGCACAAACAAGCCCTCAAATCAAGGGAGGCCTAAGTGTGGGGGCAGAGGGGCAGCCCCCCACTGCAGAGCTCACATGTTGCCTTTGCTATCCTCAGCTGCGTCTTTGACCCATGGGCTGTGTCTGCCAGTGGGCGAGTGGTCGGTGAGCTGAAGAGACTTGCCTCTTCTCTGACCACCACCCCACATCCTGCACAGTTCCTGGAAAGTTCCCATTGCTTCTGTGTCCTTCTTCCCTCTGACCAGAATGGCGACACTCACATCTGTGTGCACCTTCCAAGGTCCCGTTCAGATTTCGTCTCCCTTAGACTTTCCTGACTTTTCCCTCCCGTGTCCTTGCCACATTCAGACTTCCCTCCTGGCACTGCCATGCCACATGGGTCTTCTTTGTTGATCTCTTCATGCTCTAGACCAGTGCCATCCGATGGAAATATGATGCTAGCCACCTAATTTTAAGTGATCTAGTAGCTACATTAAAAAGTAAAAAGAAAGTAACTTTAATAATTTATTAAACTCAATATATCCAAAATATTATTTCAACATGTAAATGAATTTTAAAATTGTTAGTGAGATATTTTTCAAGCTTCTTTCCCCTACTAAGTCTTTGAAATTGGTTGTATGTTTTATACTTAGAGCACATCTCAGTTCGGATCCTAAATTTTCACCGGAAATACTTGACTTGTATCTAGATCTCAAAACATTTACAGTTGAAAAAATTGATTCACATCTCCAACTTGTTCCAAACATATCTAAAGGTTTTTCAATAACTGAATTGTCTCAGTTTTTAAAATTAAACTAATTAAAATTAAATAAAATGAAGAATCGAATTCCTCAGTTGCACTAGCCACACTTCAAGTTCTCAGTGGCCATATGTGGCTAGTGGATACCACGTCACACAGCGCAGTTCTAAACCACAGGCTTCTTGAGGGTAGGGATTGTTTCTTTGCATTTTCAGAGTCAAACATAGAGCCTAGCACAGAGGTAGTGAAATGTTTGTTGAATGAACAACAGAGTTGGGACTTTCAACAAAGGGAACAGCAAGAGTATAGCAACATGTTTACAGATAAAGCCTGCCTGGATCAGTGTAGCTCAACAGGGCACTTCTCTGGCATACACCTTCCTCGCCTAAATCTTTTTAGATTTTAGAGAACCCTCCTCCCCAGTGCCAGCCAGGTCTTGTTTCCACGCTCTCATTTGGCTTCTAAGAACTTCCAGAGCTCGATTTTTCAGATCCCCAGCGTTGAGAGGTAGAAACAGACCTCACTTCTTCCCCAGATGTTTCCATCTGGAGGCTCCACATTTCCCAGGTCTCAGAGCTCCTGGCAGGCCAGGCGGGCAGGAGTGAGTGGAGCCACCCTCTCAGCCCTCGCAGGGCTGTCCAAGAAGAGTTCTGTGCTCCAGCTGCAGCTGAGGCCAGTGGAAGCTTCCATCCTGTCAACAATGGCCCCTTAGGGACAAGGGGGCAGGGAAGGCCAGGGGGGATGTGTCCTCCTGGTCACTATCTGCAGAGGGGAGCCCAGAGGAGGCTTAGGTCCTTTCTCCCAAGCCAGAAGGTTCTTCTTGGAAGGAGAGGTGGAGGACAGCTGAAGCTGGGGAGGGACAGTTAACTCCATCAAGGCCAGTGTGGGAGGAAGTGGTGTGAAGGTTTTAGTGTTAGAAGATGATGTCACATCAGTCCTTTCCAGGTTCTAGGGGAATTATTTGTCCTCAAATTCCCGGTTCACAGGAAGCATCTGAGGGCCATCCTGCCTCAAAGTACCAGGAGACAAAATTACAGGGGCAAATTGGGAAATATGAGCCAGTCCCCAGACCAGTCTGAGGAGCTTCGCTCTCTCCCCTTAGAAGAATAATTAGAGACTGGCCATGCCCAGCCTTGCTGGTCCGCCTCTCCCATCCACCTTCATCTGGGTTTTCCTGAGTCATTCAGCAAGATCCGAATTCTCTTGCAAGTTGCACAGGCATGTTCTGAGCCTCTTTGTTTGGCTAGGGTCCCTCCTTTGTCTGCAGCTCTTGAGGAGCTGTGAGCCTCCTCTGAAACACAAGAATATCGTGGAGATGGAGCGAGTGACAAGGCCTCCTGTGGAGGCGGGAGTGGAGGGGGGGCGTGAGGCGAGTGCAGCAGAAAGAGCACAGAACTGGGGAGACACAGAGCCGGGCTGCATTCCAGCCCTTCCCACTCACTAGCTATGTGAGCACGAGGAAGGTGCTGAAACTGCTGTGTGCCTCAGTTTCCCATTTTTGTTGCCAGGTGGTTGGGAGAAAAGCCCAGATTTCATTCACAGATGCTGTCTTCTTCGTCACCATTAACCCATAGAGCAGAGCTGTCACAGCCTCCCTGGGCTCTCCGTGCCTTCCGTGCCGGTGCTCTGACAGGTTCCAGATCTTGAGTCAAGCTCTTCTCCTTCCCCACTCTCAGGGCCTGAAGAAGCATTCTGCCTGCAGAAAGCCAGCTGCTCTTTCTAGCCCAGGGCAGAACAGACGCTGGAGTCCTGGAGAGTTCCAGGCATCCTTTAAGGCCTCAGCTGCCCACTTCCTTTCAATAAATTTCCCTGCACCTGTCCCAGTTGGGTGTTCTCTTCTGCTGTCAGGGTCATTGAGGTGAGGTGAAGGGTGGTGACCTTGACCAGTGAATAGGTTCCTGACTTAGGAGGGGGGCTGGGACAAATCCTGTAGTTGCCTCTGCTTTGAAGAGCTCAACTGGACCTCTCCTCTGCTATACTTAGCTCTGAGGTCCTTCTCCATTGCCCTGCCAGGACAGTGCCAGCCTGGTGTGGAGGCCTCATGGCCAACTGGCCCGCTCACTGCTCTTGGCTGCAGCCCCTGGCCTCGTCCCACCCGAGACGTGTCTGATCCCCAGGTAAGGGCTGAACCACACCTGCAGTGTCTTGTCTTTTTACCTCTTCGCCACCTGGACTCACCATCTCGCCCTGCTGCTTCCAGGAGATTTAAAGGGCCACCGCCAGGACTTTTCCCTCCTTCATTTTTCACTTTTTCTCCTTTTGGAAGCCAGACATTTAAGGTCTAGGACATTCAAAAGCAACCACATATATGGAGGAATTTAGAAGATACCACACAGACCTTCAGTGTACACTTCAGGCTGATCCCTGGCACAGAGACACCATATAACAGAATGCGCACACACACACACACACACACACACATTCTATCTGTGACCACCACGTTCCCAGTCATGTCCCTGTCAATGTGAGGGATGTCCAGCTGGCTGCCAGGACATCTCTGGGGCTGCACCTCTATACCTTCCTCTTCGCTGGGACTGGTTCTGGATTTAGAGTCACAATTTAGGCCATAGCTGACTGATTAGTTTACATTTGATCTTATCATTCTTCACCCCATGACTGAAGGGCTGGTCCTCCAAAGTCCTTGAAAGGGAAACACTGAGACCACAGTTCCTTTTCTCTGCCCCTTGTCCTGGGTGGTCCTTCCCACACACTGAGAGTCTGTTGTGGAGGACAGGTGGCGGTCATGGATTATAAGGACTAGGAGGAGGTTTCAGACTCTTCTAGTCCTACTCTTCCTGTGACGGGTGCTGATTTAAACCCTCCATTTCACTGGCACCACCTTTTGGCCTTAGCCTGGCATCTGAGCCTCCCAGAGCCCGCGGGGCCTGGGCAGCCCAGGGACAAGGCTGACCGGTGCCTAGACGGGATGAGAAGGGAGAGAGCTTTGTTCTTTTTATCTTTCAGGCCTGTCTCCCAAGCGCGCTGCCAACGACCTCCGACCTAGCAGAGCTCTGAATGGGGGCGGGGGAACCGGGCAAGCCCGAGCCAGACGCCTTCGGAGTCACGGCACCCAGAGCTCAGCTCCGAGTCCTCGCGGCTGTGGCTGAAATAGATCTTATTCCTGCCTGCCCAGGGCGCAGACGCGGTGCTCCGAGGCCTCCGGCGCCAGGAGTCCCAGGAGATGGGGTGGTAGGTGGGGCGTGGCGGAGCTAGGCGAGGAGGCGGGGTCGGAGTCAGGCCTCACCCCAGCTCGGCCCCCGCACCCCGATGAGTTCCCCCGCTGCTCTGCTGACCCATTCCCTGAGTCCGCAAAACGCTGACCATGGCCATGACATTGGGTTACTGGGACGCCCGCGGGGTGAGCGAGGCGTCCTCCTGGGCGGCTGGGATGGAGGCGGGCGGGCGGGGAAACGCTGCGCAGCTGGGGACCGGTTCTGGCAGAAGGTTCCTCCTCCGGGGCTTGCTGGAGCCCAGCCCCATCCTGCCGCCTGTCCTCTCAGGTGGGAGAGTGTGTGGGAGGCTGGGGTGTGCGTGGGAGGTTACCTGGAGAGAAAGGCAGCAGTCAGGCCCCTCCAGCTCTGACCTCTGCCCCGGCCTTCTGTCCCAGCTGGCTCACGCCATCCGCCTGCTCCTGGAGTACACAGACTCAAACTATGAGGAAAAGAAGTACACGATGGGGGACGGTAAAGGCGTCCTCATGGTGTCCCTACTTCTGCCCAACTCATGCTGACTTGGTTCCAGGCACCCCATGCCCCGCCACCTGTTGCTCACCTCTGCCGCCCTCCAGCAGCTGGAGCAGGGCCTGCCCCTTCCCTACCCACTTTGAGGGTGCAGCTCTCCTGCCAAGGCAGGATGTGGGAGGGGATTGCTGGACCCCCTGTCTCAGTAATTGAGATGGGTTCCCCTTAGGGTTGCCTAAACCCTGTGTGAGCCTTACTCATGTAGGTTCCAGAGCCTCATTAGCGTTCTTCCCCCCAAGTCCTTTAATGTGAGACTTAGTGGTTCAGATTCTAGATCACCTTGGTCAGCTGTCTTGCCACTGACTCTTTGGAAGGTTCCCCCAAAGTGGGAAGGAGGATTGGACTCTGGGGAGGTTTGTTTCACTCATCTTCTCCACCACAGCTCCCGACTATGACAGAAGCCAGTGGCTGAAAGAAAAATACAAGCTGGGCCTGGACTTCCCCCATGTAGGTGCAGGGGATGGGGGTGCTGTGGGGGCAAGTGAGAGGTTCTCTTCTCCATCTCCTGTCCCAGATTCCAGGTGTCAGGATCAGGTACCTTCTGCTCAGACTCTCAGCTTCCTGGTTCTCTTCACTGCCTTCGCATGATGCTCTATGTTCCAGCTCATTCATTCGTTTTGCAATACATTTATTTAGTGCTTACCAGTGGCCAGGCACTGCGAGTGCCAGGTTTCATCTCTGCCCTTGCTCAAGAGGGGGTGCTTGGGAGCCTGGTGGCCAAGTGACCTGCCCCTGTTGTCCTTCCAGCTGCCCTACTTAATTGATGGGGCTCACAAGATCACCCAGAGCAACGCCATCCTTCGCTACATTGCTCGCAAGCACAACCTATGTGAGTGGGCTGGGGGTGGGGTGCAGGGGACAGGTGGCCATGCCCTGGGCTTGGCTGGGGTGGGATGTTGAGGGTGAATCTCTGTTGTGTGGCCGTAGGCGGAGAGACAGAAGAGGAGAAGATTCGTGTGGACATTTTGGAGAATGAGGTTATGGACACCTTCATGCACCTGGCTAGGGTCTGCTACAGCCCTGACTTTGTGAGTCCCCTCCCAGTGGGCTGGGGGGGACAGAGTTTGATAAGGAGACTGGACTCTTGTGTCCCAGCTACACTGGTCCTATTTGCCATATGAACTTACTGGAGCTGCTGATCCTCAAAGTTGGTGTCTATACTGCCACCAGAGTGACCCTCATAAACCCAAATTGCATCAAGTGAAATCTCTGACTCAGTTCCCACCAATCCTAGGATAGAGTCCAGACTCCCCAGGGTGGAAATTTATTCCTGGACAGTGTGTTTGCTTGTTAGCCCAGCGCTGTCTCCATGACACCCTGAGGCATCAGCATATTAGCCCAGTGGGAGTCTCAGGGTCAGCCACCAGGCTTTTGTACCTCTCCCTCCTTCCTTTTAGCCTCTCAGATTCTCCTCTTTTGTCCAGAATCTACTCAAATGTCTATTCTTTCACCCACTACCTAGACCTTAGGACTTCTTTCCCTGAGTCATTTTAGTTCTTTGCTGCTTTGATTCTGCCCAAGAGGAGTCCTGAGCTCTGCCAGGTTCCCACAGCACTCCTGGGTCTGACCCATGGAGGGTGTTTGGAGATGAGTGGTGACAGATGCAGGGGCAGTGTGGTATTGCTCTCTGCCTTCCCATTATCTCTCACAGATGGGAGCTGGTCCCCAATAGGAGTCTAACGAACACAGGTTGGGTTAAATCACCCAGCTGTAGCCCGGGGGACATGGCTGCTCACTCGTGGCAGCTGGGGGTCATGCACAGCCCTGGGGAGGCCTGCCTCCTGCCCAGGGAGTCTGTGTCTGAGGGTGGTGACAGCTGTTTTGTGCCTCAGAAGAAACTGAAGCCTGAGTACTTGGAGGTGCTTTCTGAAAAAGTGAAGCTCTTCTCACAGTTTCTGGGGAAAAGGCCTTGGTTTGCAGGGGACAAGGTAAGAGGAAGGCTTTGGGGGACCAGGATTTGTCATTATTCGCAAGCTTCAGAGTTTGGCGCCCATTCATCTTTGGCCTTTCTGCAGATCACCTATGTGGATTTCCTGGCTTATGACATCATTGACAAACTCCGTATGTTTGACCCCAAGTGCCTGGATGTGTTCTCTAACCTGAAGGACTTCATAGCCCGCTTTGAGGTGATTCTCTTAATTCTCTTTCTATTTATATCTCTTTTATCTTCCCCCTTCTCCTTGATGCTTTCCTAGTCCTGGAGCTAAAATGAAGAATAACTAGCATTTATTGAGGTCTTGTTTTATGCTAGGATCTGTTCTCAAGATCTTACATTTATTCTGTGAAATTTAATCTTCACCACATTCCCACTGGGTAGAAGAACTATCACCTCCATTTCACAGATAAGGAAACTGAGGCTGAAAGCATAAGTAATTCGCTCAAGGTCACAGAGGCAGGACAGCCTGTGCTGGGCCCCCTGTTAGTGTCTGGCTTCCACGGGCAGCAGTCAGTGGCTTCTCCTTTCCTGTGCCCAAAAGAGAAGGCTCAGGTCCTTTTCCAGCATGAGTGACACAGCTCAGGATAATGTGGATGAAGGAGAACGTTCAGGAGTGTGTATGTAGCTGGGATTAGTAGAGCTGAGACATAGTAGGATTGATGTGAAGTACCAAAGACACAGACGATATTTACTCTTGATCTCCAGAAAGCTCTGCAGGAATTGGCTCCCTATCGGGGGAGTTCTGAGATGCCAGGGCTGTGGTTGGTGCTGGGACTTGAGTCCACATGTGGGTGCCCTTGTGGAAGGATTGTATCTTGACATCTTCTTTTGTGGGACCCTTCCTTCCCACTGTCTCCCTTTCCTTCTTCCTTCCAGTTACCCAAGATTCTGTCTCAGCAATGGATAGTACATTTATTTTAGGTCCCATTCACTGATCTGATCTTCTCCTGTGCATGAGGCGCTGTGTCAGGCACAGTGGGGATGCAAAGGTGAGGCAGCCCTGGAGCCCAGCCTCCTGGGGCTCAGTGCATTTGGAGAGCTACAGCAACCAGGCTGTGTGGTGTGTGGGCCCAGCTAGCTGCTGGAGGAGCACAGCCTGGACCCAACCTCACTGCTCATCAGTGTTCACCCTGAGTCCACTCTTGGAGAGCAACAAAGTCTGCTTGATTACAGATTTGGGAATTTGAGGCATTAGTCCAACAGGGTTTTTAGCCTACAGTCTGTTTTCCTTTCCCACTCCCCTTCAGGAAATCTGCTTTGTCAGCTAGTTCTCATCAGCTCTGGTTCTGGTCCAGGCTGATTGGCCTTGGAGATTATGCAAGAGCTGGGATGACTGGCTGGCAGGGAAGGATGGAGGAGAACAGGGGCTGTGCTCTGTGGCTTGTTGGAGCCTGGCCCATGGGGTACAGGTGATCCTAGCATCTTTGAATCCTTTAGAACTTACCAGGTGCTGTCTATGTGGGAAGATAGTGCCCAAAGACACCTGTGTGTCATACCGCTTAGTTGGCTGCAGCAGGACTTTGGGGTGAGGTAGGTTGGGGCCCAGTGAGATTGGTCCCTGATAATAGGCCAAGCAATGGACATTCTCCTTTAAGAGGAATAATTAGAGTCTGGCCTGGCTTTGCTGCTCCACATCCTCCCATCATGTTTCATTGAGGTTTTGCTGAGTCATTGGGTGAGATGTGGCCTCTTCTACAAGCTGCACAGGCACATTCTGAGCCCCTTTGTTCTGCTAGGGGTCCCTCTGTGAGGGAAGCCAGGCACCTCCCTCTGTAAAGGGGAATGTTTGTGAAGAGACAGGGAAGACAAGGCCTCCTGTGGTGAGGAGAGGGGGGAGTGCAGCAGAAAGAGCACAGAGCAGGAGAGAGAGCCAGGCTGCTTTCCAGCCCTCCCACTTACTGGCTGTGTGAGCATGAGGAAGCTGCTTAACCTGTGTGTGCCTCAGTCTCCCTTGTGATAAATGGTGAGAGTAGAGCCCATCTTGTAGGGTAGTTGTGTGGAGGGTCTAAACCTATGTCATATCTCTAGTGGATATACAGCACCTCACACAGTGTACAGTCTCCATCTGTGGTAACTCTTATAAGAGGTCACGTTAGTTCCAGGAAATTGGAATAGTTAACTTACCAGAGGTGGGGAGCCCAGAAAGACTGTCTTCTGTCCCAACACTTGACCCCACAAGGAAGGGCTGTACCAGGGTCCTGAATTCATTATGCCTGGAGTGGTGCTGCCTGAGCCCCAGTGGGGCAGCAGACCCAGAGGTCTGATCTTCTTTTTCCCACCTTCAGAGCCTGAAGCTGATCTCTGCCTACATGAAGACCAGCCGCTTCCTCCCCAGCCCTGTGTTTCTACATATGGCCATGTGGGGCAACAAGTAGGGCCTTTAAGGCCTGCAAATGGCAGCGAGGAGTCAGAGATGCGCCCGATGCCCCATGTCTTTGGCCCTGGAGAGCAGCTTGACCTCCATGCGCCTAGAGCCAGCTGTCTTGCTTCTTTCTCCTTCTTTTCACTCCCTTCTCCCACCTCGGATGCCTTATTTGCCCCCTTTTCTCCCTCCCTCCCCCCTTTTCATCTAGGCCCTTTAAGTCTTTAGCTTCCTGCTTCTCTTCAGTGAAGTCTGTCCCCGCTCCCCACCTATGTTATTCTTCCCACACTAAAGCCCACCAGGCCGTCCTTCACTTCGTTGGTTGCTCTGCTTGAGGAGTCTGACCAGACCCCTGGCCTGTGGAGCTCAGCCCTGAGCTCCTAGCACTGCCCTGAAGTCCAGTATTGGCCTGGTGTGCAGGCCCTGCTCCCCCACAGTGTGGGCCCTGCCCTGCCCTGCCTGGGATCCTCAATAAAGCCCTAATTACACCAGCTGTGTCTTGTCTTCTTCCTTCTGACCACGTGGACTCAGGACTGACTGTGTTGAGGGTGTGGGGGCATCCATTTTTCCTTCTGTGGTCCATTGCAGGGGCTGGATGGATGGGGATGCATGTGTATGTGTGTGGTGGTGGGGGGAAGGTGGGATTATAAGAGTCTTACTTATTTCAATTTCTCCTTCACCTCTGTGCCTCAGCATGGGGTTTCCACAGAAGGAGGCCCTGTGTGCCTGGGTCCCACCTTAATTCGGTCTTCATGGAATGCCTCCTGTTAGCCCTCAGTGCTCAGTGTGTCATGGTTCTTGGGTGGTGGGGAAGTGAGTTGAGCAGTCCACTGATGGTATGGGATCTGACTACCTTCAGTCACTTTTTCTTGGAACTTTCCCTGCTTTAGATACCCTCCTCTGCGCTCTTACAACATATCTCAGTAAAACATATCCCGCTGTATCATAGTTGTTGTTTTATTTGTTTTCCTCTCCACTTGATCATAATTTCATTGAAGATAGAATCTGTGTCTTATTCGACTTTTTATCTCTGGTATATATCACACTGCTTGGCACACAGCAAATGTTCAATAAACGTTGGAAATTTGAAGGAATTATCTCTAGGTAAGACCGAAGGAATGACACTGATAAAAGATAAGTAGAGAGAATAAAAATATCAATTCAGAGTAAAACAGATATAGATCTAGAACAGCAGTTGGCAAATGTCTTCTGTAAAAGGCCGGATAGTAAATATTTTGGAATTTGGAGACCATCTGGTCTCTGTCACAGTTTCTCCCCTCTGTCACTGGAGTGGGAAAGGAGCCCTAGACAATGCATAAATGAATGGGTGGGGCTGTAAGCCCACAGAAATTTATTTGCAAAAACAGGTGGCTGTAGTTTTCCTGAATCCTAGTCTAAACTTACAAGCTATATTATAGCTAAAATACTAGATTTGAAATGTAAAAGGTGATTATCGAAGAAAAACAACATAATAATCAATCCTTAAAAACGAGGGAAGATGTGATAATGAAGACAATTGCAAATGAAAACAATTTTTTGAACATTGTATCAAATTTATAAAAAGTAAAAACATGCATTTTAAAGCCTGGGGTAGAAGTACTAGAGTATGTACTTCAAGCTGAGGCAACCAAAACAGAAGTTTTTATTGCACCTCAGATCTAGCGGAGGGCCCAGAACTGGGGATTCTTTGGCACCTCGTGACAGTGCTCATATACCGTTCAGTGTGTATCTTCCCCTTCAAGAATGGGAAAACAAGACACATCTGAGGACACGGGTGCCTCATTGGTGGCTCCTGCATTGATCTGTGATCACCTGTTGTCAATTTCAAGTCCCCTGCCTGGTATTCCTCCATTATCATTGTGTTAGCAGAGAAAGAAAAAGCTGAGAGAGACCCCAAGACAGTAGCTTAGAGAGAGTGGCAGTTTATTCTATCATGTTCCATGGGGAATGGTCCAGGCTGTTGAGGCAGCCCTGCTCCATGAAGTTATTGAGGGACTCAGGCTCCTTCCATCCTGTGGTTCTGCCATCCTCTAGGATGCCTCCTTCTCTCCTTGGTTGAAGCTCTATCACGAGTATGGGAAGGAAAATAGAGAGAGAAAACCCAAGGAAGCCACTTCCCATTATGCAAGTGAGGCAGAAGTTGCCTATATCACAGTCATTCACATTCCATTCGAGAGGTTCAGTTGTGTGGCTGTACTGACTCACAAGGGTAGACCCATATTTGGACAGCAGAATGGATTTTGGTGGCCAACTATAGTCACTCCCACACCCAGAAAAGTGGGGATAAAGGTGAAATCCAAGTCCAGGAGAAACCTTAGGTTTCAGCCAGTGGTTTAAAGCAGGTAGGAGAGAGGCTAGGGTACTAAAGACAAGGTCTTTATCTTCAGAGAGACCTAAGGGGAGTGACATATATCCAGGATTCCTAGCTGCTGAAAGAGGAAGTGATTTATAGAGGTATCAGGTAGCACATGAATCCCTGGAAGGGCCAGGGTGTTGGTCTTGGAAACGGGGTGATCAGGAAGTGTGCCTAATCACTTGTGGAGAAAGCACCACAGCCCTTGCTGGGCATAGACACTGGAGATCCTGCCCTGACATGTGGCACCAGATGTGAGTGTCTCACCACTGCTGCCTCCAGAATCCTGATCCCTGCCCAACTACCCTTGCCAGAAAATAAATTCTCAGGGACTGATTCTTTAGAACAGAAGTCCTGTACCACGGTGTGCAATTAACAGAGCTTGGGTCACAGGCCTGGGCCTCAGCCACAAGGGAAGCTGGAATAGCCAGTGCATGAATTAGGACTGAGTTCTGCTGTATATAACTGATTAGTA